CCCTTACAACAAAACTATTAGTAACTAAATGAAAAAAGGAAAAAGGATAGCTAAGTTTAATACACAAAGAAGGATCATTCTGTAACTATCAGCCAACGTCTTCATAAATAATAGGATACTCACTCGACAAAGATAAAGAGAACTGGAACCACTAAGCACAGATGTGACACTCCTAAATGAAGAATCTGTAACAGAAATTTGAGTAACACACAATTAGCAAACCTCATAGAACACATATAAAAATCTTTTATAGCATAGACAAACACGCAAGCACACACTTTAACATCATCAGCAATATGTTACTCACCAAATAAGCCGATAAAATCCAGAAGGAAGTAGGCTGCCGTTCTATAGAATGGCATCTGCAACAAGAATTATAACATAATATGAATAAAAGAACAGAATGAAAAATTGAAGTAGGAAAAGACATAAATTAAAGAGAACTACCACAAGGGAAGAAGAAGAAAAAGAATACACGAAAGAGACTAGATCCATCGACCCAGCGGTTACCAAGCTAGAACGTTAACCACTGGGCCGCCGCCACTGCTTGTTCATAGTCGTAAGGCAAGGGAAGATAAGGACGCGTCAAACTTCTTTTGCAATTTTCTCGAAAACCTCTGGATGTTTGCGGCAACATTGAAGGTGTATATGCTGTCCTAGTGGATTACTACAATTGTACGAAGTTTCAACAAAATCTGTGATCCCGACCCGTATAGTCCCCTTGTTAGCTATTATGAGATAAAACTGTCACTATCACATATCATTGTTTACGTCCCCTCTGCCTCGCGTCTACACCTCTTCAATACTGCTTATTGAAATACATTTCATTAAATCATCGTAACAATCATTACACTTATTTGGAGAAAATCAAAAATCTACTAACAAGGGGAGGCCAACATATGTGCGACACGGATTTTGATGAGTCTCACATATGTTGTAGTGTAGATGTAGTACAACAATACATGTTTCAATGTTGGTGCCAACGCTCAATAGTTTTCGAAATATTAATAAAAATAGGTGTCGATGTGTTGAAGAACAAATATGTTAAGATCCCTTACCGTAATAGACATTAGCGACGCTAGTAACGGTTCGGATTAGTAATGGTTAGCACTCTGGACTTTAGAGAAGGCGTTTGGATATAGTGAGAAGCGCACGCTTTTTTTATTCGTCACAAAGTGAAATTTATTATAATATACTT